GTTTCAGGTGCAAGTTCAAACCAACAGAGACTTCGATGGGCATGAGGGCAGAAACAATGTTGAACAATTACAGCTGTAAAAACAAACACACCCGGAATATTCCTTAAAAACAACAAAAACACCAAATTTTCGCACATGGTGTTTCCGCAAACCTCTCATTATTTAGTATCTCCACCATTCAAAGCCTCAAATCTTACTTACTTACCAATGTGTGCATTGACATCTAGAGCGAAAGTGTTGTGTGTGATCGTGGTGGTTTTTTTTTTTTACGAAACCCAAAGAAAATAGAATATTCAATCTTAAGAAAACAAAATGTTGATTTTAGAAAGCAGGAAACTTCGGACCTTACATCAAATTGACGAAGAAACCGGGAAAGCATAAAGTAGAAATTAATGATTCTTATCAGCACGTTATATGCCTTCTATCGAAGACGTCATAATGAAGTATGTCAAAATTGAACAAAATGATGATTAAATTGTGTGGCAACAGTCAAATTTAGTTTCTGAATAGCACAGTTTGGCGTTCTTGAGACAGAATCAAATACTCCAGGACAAAAACGTTTGCCCAAGGTTTGAATTTGCTTGAATTAAAGTTGAACTTGTTCGGTAAAGAAAAAAAAATCAAACATTGGAAGTGCACAAGATCAATGTTGATAGATAAATTTGAAAATTACAAAAGATACATTTCAATGATAAACATACTAATGTAGCCTGGAAAACCTATATTCCATTCCCGTAAAGAAAAAAAATGCAAAAAAAAAAAATCACTGCTTAATCACAGCAGCTTACATGGGTACACATAAAGCACCGTGCACTGACGTTTTCTTTCTAAATTTCTTACTAAATTTAAAACAACTAAAATCTACATAGACAAGATAAGTTTGCAGTAGCACCATGTGAACAAATATCTTTTGTGAGTACATGTATGTGTGGTTCTGAAAAGAACTGGAGGGACTCTGAGTCCCCCCGGTTCTTTTCAGCACCACACATACACATACTCACAAAAGAGATTTATTCACATGGTGCTACATGTACTGCAAACTTATATTGTCTTAGTATCTTTCCACCATGCAAACCTTCAAATCTTATAAAATCTACATAATACTAAAACTAAAACTAAAATCAATGTTTTTCATGAATTATACATGTCATCTACTAGCACATGTTAACATATGAGTATTAGTCAGATAGAAATATACACAATGTAAAGCTTCATATAAGTACTGAATCCAGTTGCCTGAAAAAAAAACAGACACAAAGTCCAAATACATGTAGAGGCCATTGTAATCAAATTCAACAGAGTTCATTAGTTTATCAAATACATTCATGTAAGCACATTAAGACATATTTGGTCATAGCCTATACAATGAGACCGTATCACTTAACATAAACATACCATTTCAATCTAGTGGAAATTCCCCAATAAATTTACAAATCAAATGAATTGCACCATAAATGTATGCATTCTTCATTCAAGGTGGAGGGGCTGGCCAAGCTTTAGCTCAGGAATGGGGTAGGTAATAAGGGGGAGGGGTTTAGTTTACTTTTTTTTACTGTGGCCTGGGGGGGGAGGATTCCACCAGAGGTGGACCGATGAAGACAAAAAAATATTGTTTTGGTTTGAAAAAGAAAAAAATCTTCAGAAACTCAAGTGGGTTTCAACCAGTTATAATACATGCATTAAACCTCCCATGCAAACCTACATTCTGTGAAAAGTTTGTCCTTTCAGTCAAATCAATCAAGTGACTGTTTTCCACCGTTAAGAGCTCCCAGCCTACCGGGTACATAAAGCAGATTTGACAGACTGTGACTGTTTATGTAATTTAATACAGCTGTGTTTTGACTGTAGATGATTGATAAGCCAGCTGTGCCAACATCGTGCCTGCATTTTCTTTTCTCTGAATTGGACTATTACAGTGCTAAAATATGATCTGAGTGTTATTGACCAGCCTGTGTAGAAGGCATGGCAGGGAGAGAGGATGATTTGTTTTTACTGTCTATGACTGTTCAGACTGCAAAATAAATATTTTTGCTTCTAAAAAAGTGGTTTCATATCTAATCTGAGCCTGCAAAGAACATGTCTCAGAATAATTGATCTTGCAGAGCACACTAAATACCCGTTGCATGTAGAATTCAAACAAGCTCACAAAACACACGCTTCTATTAAACCAAAAGCTATTAATACAGGCAGTCCAAGAAACGGTCCCCTTTTGTCCCACATGCTGCACCATGTTTTTAAAAAACATTATCGCAAAGATTAATAACATAAAATCTATTCTTGCAGATTCCCAATAGTTGAATAAAAACATTGTAATCCATGAATGTCTTAGAGGGTTAAACTTTTGTTACGGATGAGATATGGTGTGCGTAAATTCTAGGACAATCTATTTTGCATTTAGGTAACAAAAAATTCAACTTACATTGTTCAGTAGTTTGTACAGTGCAATCTTGGAGGTGTGTGCTTTTGTTTAACACGTATACGCTTAGGTAGACCTCTTGTGGATTCATTGTTAATGAATTAGCATTGGAAATGGTTTTGTTCCAAAGATGCTTCCAAATTCAATCTTTCATTTGTTGAAACCGTCTTCGGTGACCTTTCATCACGTGGTCACGGATCCTAGTAATGCGGCTGACCTGGTCGCTGTGATGTTTTCCATACCGGCAATGGTTCACAAAGTGCTCGCAGTTGTTGAAGAAAAGATTATACGCCGGCTGGTTGCCATCTGATTGACTTTTCGACTGGCGCTTGATTTCATCTAAAATGTGCGTCCTGTCAAACGGTGGCCAGATGTGATCTCTTTCGTTGTTGATTCTGACCTTTCCCGAAAATATCCAGATGCTGTTTACACATAGTACCGGTTTGTCTTTCGCTGAGGACCCTGAACCAGAACTCTTTTTCTTGGAGAAGAGTTTCCCGTTTCCGTTAGCCGGAGCGAAGTGGACTACTTGGTTGTTGTCAGCTCCCCATCTGCCGACGTAGATGCCCCAGTGCTCGTACATTCGACCGGTTTGATGGAACTCCAGCCTGTCACCCACACGCATCCTATGATCAGGTAATAACCCCCAGTCACTGACCAGCCCAAAATTAATGCGCCAGTCATCATATCGACAATAGTTTACAAAGTCCTCACTGTCTTTGAACAAAACCGAGCATTCGTAGTGCGTGCCCGCCCTGCCTGACAACTGATGACTGATTTCCTTGAGAATACTTTTCCAGTCTAACGGTGGCCACTTCCGATCGCTTTCGTTGTTGATTCTGATTTGGTCGTATTCATCAACTACATGTTTCTGTATGGATTTAGCCCACAGTTTTGGTTTGAGTCTCTCTGTGGACTTTGCTGAGTTCGTTTCATCGCCATGGGCGAAGAGGACTACTTGTTCCAAGTCGTCCCCCCATTTGCCGATATAGATGCCCCAGCGCTCATACGTAGAATTGCATCTGAACTCCAGCCTGTCTCCTACACGAACTTCATGAATAAAGCCCTCGATATTAGTCTTGCTGTACCATTCGCTTATTCTCTCGTAATTATTGTCTCTGCGGTAGTTATGCTGATGATCTCTATCGTATCGACAGTAGTTCACAAAGTCCTCACTGTCTTTGAACTGATTTCTGCACAAATACACTTCCGCTCTTCCAACTATCGTGTGTAAGTATTTGAATTCATTCGTGACTTCCTTGCGAATATGTCTCGTGCCTAGCGGTGACCAGTCTTTATCCTTCAAGTTGTTGATCCTTACTTTATTGCCTGGCTTTAATAAAAAGGAAAAGATGCAGGTAACGACGATTACATTTTTACTGGCTTGAACACTGACATTCAAGGAAGGATTTCTCTTTGAGTACGCCCCCAGCTCTTTATAGGCATCATTGAATAATGTGACTGCAGACCCAGAAGTGTGGTTCAATTCACTGAAGGACTTGTAGATAGCCCAGCAGTGCAGATACGGCAGATTGCTATTGACAAACTCAAGTCTGTCTCCCTCACGCACTTTACGTAAGAATCTACCAAATTGTAAGATATTGTCCCTCTTGCACCAATTGCTGACTCCTCCGAAGTTGTTGTCGCAGGTTTGGCTATCGGTCGGTTTCGTATCCCAGAAATCATCATCACTTGTCAGCGTCGATCCTGTACTCTCCGCCATGACTGTCAAAGGTTTTCCACTGCAATCTCAGCCAATTGGTTACCATCAACACCTTAACACTTGCACTACGTGATAACGTGAGTAGTAATGACACTTATCAGCACAAAGTGACTCAGTTAGGCTAGTGTAAACAGTACCATATGTATGTACATGTGCCTTCACGTACTTTCACCATCAGGCGACGTGGTGCCTGTAAATATGTTGGGTGTGTTGGGTCCATAGTACAACATTTTTTTTTCCCGAATAAACATTTGTAAACTGTTTTCAGTTTCTCGCCAGTTAATAGTTAATCAATAATTGAGATCTAAGTTTCATATTATATATGTTTGTTTAGGCCACAAAAAAGGCTCCGGTATCTGGAATGCGCGCGCGTCGCTGTAGCCATGCGCGTCGGCAATTTTTTTTTCCAATGTCATTATGATGTCTCAAAATCGCCAAACTCACTGGCTTGACTGAAATCCTGCTTCTGCACAATTTTAAGGTTTTTTTTTTAGATGGGGTTAAGATCGAGCATAAGCTTTATGTGGCCTCTCTGGGCTGCCATATGCTTTGTACTAAATTTAGTCGGGCATCATTTACAGTTATCAGCCGACATTTGAAGCAAAAAAAAAGCAGCTGCATCGGTGCACCACTTTTGGGCAAGCTCCATACCAGAAACCGAAGACTTTTTTTGGGGGGGGGGGCCTTACCTTACATTTCCATTTCAATACTGTCACAAGGTTCATCCATCACAATTAGGATAATTGTTGGGGGAGACACCTTTACAGAGAAAATGAACTTCACCGACCATCAAAGTCTCACATTTTCCAGTTATCATATAACAAAATAAACTTCAGTAAGTTAATAAGAAATGTTCATTTCATGGCTTATTACAATCCAAAATGTTGTCTCAAGTTTGAGGTAAGAATATATGACAAATAAATCATTATTAATAAATCTTGCTTTTGAGCCTTCTTGACTTATAACAACCCTGAGCTCGGCAGTCCCATTGCCAAACGACTGTGCTTAATTTTTGGGGGTTTGGAGGAGAAAGAAAAGAGACGGGATCGGGAAAGTTGAGGGGGACGGGTCATTCATTGGGTTTTATAGTCAATAAGAAGTTCATGTTTTGCCTTCCTTCAGATTCTGAGGGGAAACGTCGGGCTCACATACCCCTCCCCCCAAACCCTTAGTCATGCCACTGCATGTATTAAATATTTCTCCTTCGCTCCTACAGAAATTTGTTTGTTTGAATGACAACATTGATCACGCCAGTCCCGACGCGTACATGGTGAAAGCCGTGCTGCAAGATTTCTACGAAGCCGATCTTCCCGATCGTGTCGCAGTTTGAGCTGCCACGAGAGTACAGAAACCGGTTCTTACACGTAGATGAACTACGGGAATGGTAAGCAGGGCATTACATCAAAACGAGGAACAGAAAAATGTCACGTTGGTATGCATCAATTAGAATCTCACCTTGAAAATTTTCCTCATTTTGACATAGCATAGCAAGCATGACCTGCCACAAACGGGGACAAAGTATGAAAGTTGTGTATACCACTTTCGCGCTTTGACTTTCAAAACTGTAATCCTACCTCTGCTGTAAGTGTTGTGTGAGGACCATCCTAAATTTGACAGCATCTAACAGCTTTTGTAGAGTGAATCCAATGAATATTCATAAGATGGAATTATGCATGGGGTGATGTAAATTCAATATTGGGTTTTGCCCATCACCGACATATTTGTTGTTAAAGGGCCTAATTGTGTACTGTAATTGTGAGAAAAAACACGACTTGGAATGAAACAAAAAAAATATGTCGTTGAAGGTTAAAACCCAATTTTGAACTTACATCACACAGACGCAAAATTTAATACACATGTAAATTAATAGTTTGGTTTGTGGTACTGGTACCCACTGCTTTATGGGATTTGAACCAGCCAGCTGACCCCGGCAAGCTTGGTGGTCAAGTGGTAAGACGTCTGCCCTAGTTAGCAGGTCGTGGGTTCGAGTCCCACCCGAGTATTTTTTGCTCACAATAACTCGGAACAACACTCAGTATACAGTGTTTGTTTTTATAAATAGGAAGAAGGGCACAACCCAATATCAGCTGAATTCAAAAGCTAGAGAAAATGATATTTGGTTTTCGGATCAACAAAATGTGACCCAAAATTTGATGATGGATCTTGTTGGACTCAGCTGGGTAGTGGTTAATATAAAGGATTGTACTTCTAAAGGATGTATTTCCTGTGCTAGTTTTTTGTTTCACCTGTCAGAAATAGATTTTGCTTTTTAAATAGCTATTTTTTTTCTGTCACAAAGTTATTCACTTCGTGGCATCGACTGAAAAACAATCAGTCCATGGAGTAATAACTTCAAATTATTAATTATTTACAGCCCGACACCAATTTAATACACACAGGGACTTGTTCCCACCTACCCTCCTACTCACAGGGTGGATCAGTTCATGCACAAAATGGGATCCAAAATTTAAGCTTTTTTGTGAATTGTTTTTGTTTTTAATAGAAAAGATTTTTTTTTTTCATTACAATAAATACTCGAAAGTTAATATGTATTCGAGAAAAACATTCAATTTGTTGCAGAGCCTGGATGGCATATCACTAACAATTTTTTCTTTCGCTGCAGGAGGAGATATCGTGACTGGCTCAGGTTCTGGACACAAATCTCCCTATTTGCTCTGATTGCTTTCAGTATAGCATCATTTTGCTCCCGTCAGGTATGTAAAAAATTTTCCGTGAATTCTTGTATCGGAATTTGGAAATGAGTCCCGCGTCTAAAAAGTGACTGCTATATTTTAATATGGATTTAAGCCCCACACTGATGTAACTTCACAAGCAGCGGCTGCTATTTGCTTTATTGAGAACTTGTGGGACTGAAAAAAACCTGATCAGCTTGGGGAAGAATGCAAAATTCAGCAGGGGGTAACTTGAGGTTTACCTGGACGTTTACCTCGAGGTATGCAATCAAGGTTTATCTTAAGGATTATCTGGAGGTTTATTAACCTTGAGATTTACCATCGAGGTTTACCATCGAGGTTTACCATTGAGGTTTATCTGGAGGTTTAAACCTCGAGGATTACCCTCCTCATCTCAAGGTTTACCTGAAGTTTTCCCTAGAGCTTTACCCTCAAGGATTACCTTCAAGGTTTACCCTCAAAGATTACACTCAAGGTTTACCATCAAGGTTTACCATCAAGGTTTAGCATTGAGGTTTATCTCGAGGTGTATCTGGAGGTTTAAACCTCGAGGATTGCCCTCCTTATCTCAAAATTTACCTGGAGTTTTCCCTAGAGCTTTACCCTCAAGGATTACCCTCAAGGTTTACCCTCAACGATTACCATCAAGGTTTACCATCAAGGTCTACCATCAAGGTTTACCATCAAGGTTTAGCATTGAGGTTTATCTTGAGGTGTATCTGGAGGTTTAAACCTCGAGGATTACCCTCCGTATCTCAAGGTTTACCTGGAGTTTTCCCTAGAGCTTTACCCTCAAGAATTACCTCTAAGGTCTACCCTCAAGAACTACCCTCAAGGTTTACCATCAAGGTTAACCCTCAAGGTTTATTTCAAGGTTGACGTGGAGGTTTACCTCAATGTTTCGCGAGGTTTTGCAGGGTATTACCAGGTGCCTCGTCCATTTGAAGTTTCAGTGGGGTGGGAAAAAAGAGGTGTTTTTTTAAGGTTCCCTGATTGTTCTGTTTCCAAAAAGTGTTCTCTCTTTTTATTTGTTGTAGCTGGTGGCATTACGGAGGCGTTGCTGTCCAAGGCGTCGCACGAAAATGAGTGAAGTTGCGGAAAAGGTTCAGCATGTATGACTAACCAAGAAAAAAGACTCGTAAAAAAAACTAAAAAACTGTACAGTGCTTCAAACTTCAAACTGCTCTTTAAAGTTGAACAGAGAAATTGACTGGGGACATGATTTGAACCTGCGACCTCCGGATTGCTGTTCCGGTGCTCTACCAACTGAGCTATCCGGCCCTATGTTAGCGGCCCCCCATTTTTTCAATGTATTTGTTCAAGGGGCGCAAGTCAGAAGCCATAAACCCATAGATATGCCGTGTAGCCAGGGATCACACTCAAAGTCGTGATGCTAGCAACAATAGCAATGCTGCAAACCTGGTAAATAGCAAACGGGGATCACTCAGACAGGATACAGCTTTTTTACATAGTTTCAAATAAACTGCAAAGAGAAACTGCCATGGTGCATTCTAATAAGTTTGAAAGTGGAACAAGCAAATTCATCCCAAAAAATATTTGAGTTAACCGAACGAACACTGCATTGCACAATAGTTCTTCAGTACTTGGACAGTAAAATATAACAGTAGAATGACTTTAAATTTGTTAAATTTTTTGGTGTTATAAGACAGATTTGTTTTGTATATTTTTGCATATAATGTCGGTATATAATGATGCTTCTTCCAGATTTGTATTGAGGGAACGTCGAAACTGGGATATATTGCAATAATTTATTAAAATACAACGAACAAACATGTTTTACTGATCTTCAAGACTTGATTAAAAGAAGAAAATCTTTTTTCCGACTTGATTTTTTTCATCGAAAAGCTGATGAGTTCTAAAACTTTGCTTTTTCTAATTAGAAACTTGTGAGACGACATAATTTGACAAGTTTTATTTATCAATCCTATCTTCATACCCAATGGTTTTTGCGGTATTTTAGAAGGTCTGTTGTAGTCTATGGAATAGTCACTTGAACACAAGCGTCCTATGATATTTACACAGATTCGGCGATTAATCATGGAAAGCACGACTGCGCCTTGACCTCGAGATTCTGACCATTCAACAGGCGCCTTCTATATCGGTTCTTCTGTAACCCGTTGTTAAGTGTTGTATAAACAAAAATATGCCAGCTAAATTGACCAATCAACAGCTTAGTCCACATTTCTTATCGAGAAGACGTCACAATTTTTAAAGTCAACTCTGATTGGCTGGTGCACGGGGTCACATACAATTTGCATTGCTCAGATATATCAGATGTTGGATAAGGAGAATGCTCCGTTGGACATCGACAACAGCTGCGACTCAGACTAGGTCTGCTATGTGGTACACAAATGCAAATGACTGATCAATGAGGCCCCGCCCACTGCGCACGTCCGCAACAACATGTGCGCCTTTCTAATGCCACACTGCATGTTACAGTCGCGCGCGTCATATGAAAGTGCACACGTCGGATTGCCATTGGACATTTACCTAATACACAATGAAGTATGTCTTGAAGGAGAATGTTCTTCCCTCATCTGACAAATGTGAAATTCGAACAGACGCATTTCAAATGTCACTTGGAGCACAAACTAAGGACACATCACAATGTAAAACTTGTCTTAGGCTTTGTCTTTCAAGGGATATCGCAATTTATTTATTTGTTGTTCACATCCTAATATACCAAATATTGCAAATGACGTGAGAGGAAAATGTATATTATTAATTCTTTTTAAAGACATGTTGGTAAATGTAATTGCATTTATTTGTGTCAATATTTTGACAATAGTTAAAAGGTGATGGGTTTTTATGCTAATGTGGTTTTGGGGTTAAAACACTTTTTCTACAGTAAAATTTAAGTCATATAGTTATTATTGTACATAGATGCTTACCTGCAGTTTACGTATATGCATATATGGGCATTGCAGGTACAAGTTTAATATTGCTATTTATGGAAAGGAAAATCTGTGATGGGTGGGGCAATGGGGTAGGGTTTTTTGGGGAGGGGGAGGGGGTGGGGAATTTTGTTAAACTAAATTCCCGATATCATACACTGTAGATGGTTCTCAAAAAGAAAATTAGTGAACGAAAATCAGCACGAAGCTGCCTGTGTTTTTGCTTTGCAAAATGCAAATTTAAGAAAATATATATTGTGCACTTTGGGCAAATGATATACCAGTTGCATAAACTATAGGTCTTTCTCTGCCAACTTCCAAGGTCAACTTGGCAAATAAGTAAAGAATAGTAATTAAAATTTCCATATATATTGGATTATCAAAAATAAAAGATATCCAACAAACTAAGATATTAAACAAAGATTTCTCTTTCTTACGTAATGAGGCTGTTAATAATTATGCATTTTCTTTTGGCAACTCGTACAAAATGGCGCCCAATGTTGGCAAACGAGAGAAATGTATATCATGGGCATTGCCAGGAATTTTCTTGGGGGGGGGGGGCAAAGCACATTCCCCCCTCCCCCCCCCAAAAAAAAAACCCTGTCTTTTCTTGTATATTCACGATTTATCATTTTTCGAGGGTTGACAGGGACATTTGTCTCCCCCACCCCCACCCAACCCATTAAATTAACAGCAAAATGACTTCAAGCCGTTTTTTTTTCTTTATTCATTTGGGGGAGGGGAGGGGGGGGGGGATCACGACGCCTGTGACTGTCGAATGGCTGTGGTTGGACTGCTCCTCATTTTCCCCATTTTATGAATACTTTTGCAACATGATTCTGTAGACAAATTGAGAAATTTACCAAGCATACATTGAGAAATTCAGGTTTTAGGAAAACTTAAAACAAAATTAAACGGATAATTTCCTCTTTATCCGTTTGATTGTTTCATGTACTTATATGGTACTAGACTTGCATCCAGTCCATCCGAAGCCCCCTTTTTCTTGATAAGACAAAAAGGAAGGACAATTATTTGAAAGCATCTGTAAATGATATAATTTTGAAAAAAAAAAACACCAAATACTTCCATTTGACCCTTTTTAAAAATCAAATTAAAAAAACAACAAATAAAAAGTGAATTCTTCCTTCTACCCATTGTCAATATTCGTGTGATTTATTTCCCTCACATTAGTCGTTTGCGTGTTATGAGTGTAACATTAATAGGCGGGAATAGTTTTTCAATTTTGTCAAATTAACTGATACTCAAAACATTCAATTAAATTTTAAAACACAATATACTTTGGAAAATAAACTTGGTATGAAATGGATTACAGAAACATAAATCATTCAGTGCAATGCTTCTTTTCTGCATGGATATCAAGAAGGTTTTGGTGCATGTACTGTTACTACAATGTAGTATCACTGCAGGTCATTGGCTCAGGGGCTGATACCATCTTTCTATGAGGGCGCGGGGGGGGGGGAGAGGGGCTGATACCATCTTTCTTTGAGGGCGCTGTTCAAAACAGACGATCATACACTCTACCGGACAATGATGTTTTTCAGGCACTCACAAATTTCCATGCATTCTAGACAAATCTAGACAAGTCGTATGAAACAGTACATAAAAGTAATGTTTCACATGAATGTTGACGTCGTTTCGGGCGTATATTGCGCTTTCGCTATGAGTTGGGTTTTGTTTGCAATATGTTGTGGGATATTGTAAAGGCTGAAAGAGAAGAAGGTCTCTGAAACCTTATTGAAAGGATTTGTATTAAGTTGTAAAGGATGTGAACAACAGTAATAAAACCAGTCAGGACAGTTCGTATGTTCTTCAACTGGAACAACTCAATACTCATAATTATTATTTCAACCAAAAATAATGTGAACAATGTAAACACAATCATCGATATTGAACGAGGAATCAAATACAATGAGTACAGTTTCGTAAGTGTGAGATGTAACAATTTGAACTGCTTGATGAAGAGCTCAAGAATCAATGAATTCCAAGGGTATCATTAAGATTACCACTTTAAAGAGATAAAACTCCCAGTTTAGGATTTGAATACTCATTTCAGATAAGAATTTCTGATAACGGGGAGGGAGGATTCCACCAGAGGCGGACCGATGAAGACAAACAAATATTGTTTTGATTTTGAAAATAAAATAAAGGATTTCATGAACTTAAATGGGTTTCAAGCATTTATACATGCATCAACTCTCCCATGCTAACATACATTCTGTGCCAAGTTGTTGTCTCAGTCAAAAATCAATCAAATGACTGTTGTCAACAGTTTGTATATTCTTTTACTTATCCAGGATAAATCTGCTTTTCATAAGGACCTTGCATTAAAATAAACTAATAATATGAATGTTACAAAATCGAAGGCTTAAAAAAGAAAAGGAAAAAATGATATGCACTAAATACAAAAGCCAAATTTGAGAAAGATAAAAGCAAGCCAGCAACCAAAACAAACCAACTCTCTGCGTAAAATAACGTTACTAGAAAGAGTGCTAAAAAGGACCCAAACAATGCAAGGTTCAGGTGCATGTATAAACCAACAGAGAGACTTCAGAAACAATGTTGAACAAGTTACAGTAAAAACAAACATAAATCCCTTAAAAACAACAACAAAAATGTGTGCATTGACGTCTAGTGATCGTGGTGTTTGTTTTTTACGAAACCCGAAGAAAACGGAATTTTCAATCTTAAGAAAACGGAATTTTGATTTCAGAAAACGGGAAAATTTGGACCTCACATTAAATTGACGCAGAAAAAGGATAAAGATGGAATTTAATGACTCTTATCAGCGCGTTATATGCCTTCTATTGAAAACGTCATAATAAAGTATGGCGAATTGAACAAAATGATGATTAAATTGTGTGGCATGAGACAAATTTGATTTCTGAAAAGCACAGTTTTGCGTACATAAGACAAAATCCAATACACCAGGACAAAAGTGTGTGTTCATGGTTTGAATTGGCTTGAAATGAAATTGTTTGATAAAGAACAAAATTAAACACTGGAAGTGCACAAGATCAATGTTGACAGATGAATTTGCAAATTATAATAAATATATTTCAAAGATAAACATGCTAATGTAGCCTGAAAAACCTATTCTCCATTCCCGTGGGGAAAAAAATGCAAAAAAAAAATATATTCACTGCTTAATCACAGCACCTTACATGGGTACACATATAGCACCGTGCACTGACGTTTTCTTTCTAAATTTCTTACTAAATTTAAAACAACCAAAATCTACATAATACTAAAATTAATATCAAAAGTGTACAAATGGTCATAAAATCATGTTTTTCATGAATTATAATTAGAACTTAATTAATTTGTACATGTCATCTACTGGTACAT